CTTTCGATTCTTGTTTTCTTTGAGAAATAAGAATTTCACTATCTATTCTCGTTTCCTTTGAGAAACAAGAATATAGAGGTTGACTTGTGCTTTTGTGACAACAAAAGACAGGGCTATCTCTCAGGTGATATCGTTTCCGCGGCGGTGGGCGGGACTCCGCCCTAACAATTGGTATCAGAGCCCCTTATTCAGACTGGAGGTGGTAAATTTTCTGATCTGAGGTGGTGGTTGAATATTGTGTGGTAAAACATAAGTAATTGTTAAAAATTCCTGAGAGAAGCAGATTGACATAATACAAGCGGTAAATGGCTTCTACAAGTAAAACAAATAAAATTGGAAAATACGAGATTAAAAAATTCAATGGGAAAAATGATTTTTCCTATTGGAGGATGCAGATGAAAAATTCGCTGATTTCGCAAAAATTACACAAAGCTTTGGTTGGAAGAGAGAAGCATAAAAATATGTCTGATGAGGATTGGGAGGAGCTGGATCTGGAAGCACGGGCGTCGATTATCCTTTGCCTTGAAATGGATGTAGCTTTCTTGGTGGACGGGGAGGAAACGGCTGCGGGCGTGTGGTTGAAGTTGGAAAGTACCTTCATGACGAAGAGTCTAACGAACCGGATCTATTTAAAATCCAAATTGTATACTTGCAAGATGGAGGAGGGCTCGTCAATCCGGGAGTACATCAATAAGTTCGATAGGATCATATCGGACTTGAAAGACATTGAGGTGACAGTGGAAGACGAGGATCAGGCGCTTCTACTACTTCTATCTCTGCCGAAGTCTTATGAGAACCTAGTGTAAACACTGATGCTTGTGGGTGAAAATTTATCGATGGATGACACTAGAACGGCACTTCTAGCGGATGATCTTTGAAAAATTACAACTAGTGATATGGCCACTGGTGGTAACAAAGAACAAGCGCAAGGGCTGTTTGCCAGAGGAAGAGGCAATGAGCGAGGAAAAGGCAAGGGAGAGAAGTCTAGATCTAAATCGAGACCCCTTGCGGGACGAGCGTGTTTCAAATACGGTGAAGTTGGACATTTCAAGGTCGACTGTCCAAACAAGAGAGTAGGTGGGAAGAACAACAACAACAAGACTGAAAGACGAGAAGGCAAGGAAGAGGCGAGCTACGCTTCAGAGGATGGGAGCGATAAGGAATGCTATGTCGTCACGGATGGCGAGGATACTTCCGGAAAGTGGATTCTTGATTCTGGCTGCTCTTACCACATGTGTCCAAACAGGAAGTGGTTTACTACCTACAGGAGCATTGATGGTGGAACCGTATTGATGGGGAACAACCATGCTTGTAAAACGGTGTGGCTAGGTAATATCAAAATCAAGATGCATGATGGAGTGGTTCAAACCCTGACGGACGTACGACACGTTCCCGGCTTGCGGAAGAATCTCATCTCAGTCGGTGCTTTGGACTCCGGGGGTTGCAAGATTGTAACAGAGAACGGAGTGAAGAGGGTTGTTCGGGGTTCCTTAACAGTGATGAAGGGTGTTCGTCACGGTAATCTATATACTCTCTCGGGTACGACGGTGACGGGAGATGCAGCAGTTGGAGCTGAAGGAAGTGGTGGAGACCCATGTGAGCACACACGGTTATGGCATAGGCGGCTTGGGCACATGTCAGAGAAGGGTCTGGATCTGCTTGGTAAAGAGGGTTTGCTGAAGAATCTGAAGAAGCCTTGCATGGATTTTTGTGAGGACTGTGTGTATGGAAAGGCGCACATGGTTCAATTTCTGAGGAGCAAGCACAAGAGCAAAGGGATACTAGATTATGTGCACACGGATGTTTGGGGTCCGGTTTCGACAACTTCCAAGGGTGGTTCCAGATATTTTGTCTCATTCATAGATGATCATTCAAGATATGCTTGGGTTTATTTCCTGAAGCATAAGAATGAGGTATTTGAGACATTCAAGAAGTGGAAGGCGATGGTTGAGAACAGGACGGGTAAGAAATTGAAGACACTGAGATCTGACAACGGTACAGAGTACACAGATGGTGCCTTCAAGGAGTTCTGTGATCAGAAGGGCAGGGGAACATGCAGATTATGAGAGGCTCAGAATTTTCGGATGTACCGCCTATTATCACGTCAACGAGGGAAAGCTTGACGCGAGGGCCAAGAAGGCAATTTTCTTGGGGTATGCAAAGGGCGTAAAAGGCTACCGCCTTTGGTGTACAGAAGATTCGAAGTTCGTGATCAGCAGGGACGTTACCTTTGATGAGAAGTCCATGATTGCTAGGATGCCCAAAGATGGTGGTGTTGATACTGTCGGGACTCCCGAGTCCCAGGTTATTGAGATAGAACCGAAAGACCAACCAGGTTCTAGTCGTGTTCAAGTGGGAAATCAGGTAGATGATGAGCTTGAGCAGGAGGAGGTTCAGCAGGAGAATACACATGCACTACAACAACAGCAGCTCGATGATAGCTTGGCTTCCACTAGGCCAAGGCGAGTATACAAGCAGGTACAGAAGCTGGGGGCTGATCAACCCCTGAAGCACTATGGGCATGTTAATTTGGTTGAATACGCACTTTCGGTGGAGGAAGATGAGCCGGTCTCCTTCAAGGAAGCTATTCGAGAGGATAGTGAGAGTTGGTTGGCTGCGATGGAGGAGGAGATGGAATCTCTCCGGAAGAACCAAACGTGGGAGGTGGTCCCATTGCCCGTAGGAAGAAAAGCTATTGGTTGTAAGTGGGTGTATAAGAGAAAGGAAGATTCTTCAGAGCTCGGTGGTACGAGGTACAAGGCGAGGCTAGTGGCTAAGGGGTTTGCACAAAGAGAGGGTGTGGATTACAATGAGATATTTTCTCCGGTGGTGAAACACACCTCTATTCGGGTGCTATTGAGCATTGTTGCTCATGGTGATCTTGAGCTGGAACAACTCGACGTCAAAACGGTCTTCTTGCACGGAGACTTGGATGAAGAGATCTACATGCATCAACCTGAGGGCTACAAGGTTAAGGATAAGGAGCATCACGTATGTCTCTTGAGGAAGTCACTCTATGGACTGAAGCAATCTCCTCGGCAGTGGTACAAGTGATTTGACTCCTTCATGCTAAAGCATGGAGCATGGATTTTCTCGAAGCGATTACGATTGTTGAGTTTACATTCGGAAGCTTCGTGTAGGTGATTATATCTATCTCCTGTTGTATGTGGATGACATGCTTATTGCATCGAAAAACAAGGTGGAGATAGATAAGCTGAAATCTCAACTTAGCAATGAGTTCGAGATGAAGGACATGGGCGCTGCTAGAAAAATACTGGGTATGGAGATTAGAAGAGAGCGGGCGAATCGGCGATTGTTCTTGAGTCAAAAGGGCTACATAGAGCGCGTGATCGCGAGGTTCGGGATGCAAAGTGCAAAGTCGGTGGTGACCCCATTGGCTCCACACTTCAGGCTTTCTGGTAAATAATCTCCCACTACAGCGGAAGATAAAGTACACATGGAACGTGCTCCTTATGCTAGTGCAGTTGGCAGTTTGATGTACGCCATGGTGTGTACACGCCCAGATATTTCACAGGCGATTAGTGTGGTCAGCAGATTCATGGCGAATCCGGGAAAGACGCACTGGGAAGCAGTGAAATGGGTCTTGAGGTACTTGAAATGTACCGCGGATACGGGTCTGTGTTTTGGTGGAGATACATGTCAGATCGACGGGTATGTGGACTCAGATTACGCAGGCGATCTAGATAGACGACGATCTACTACTGGTTATGTATTCAGAATACATGAAGCTCCAGTTAGTTGGCGATCGATGTTACAGGCTACAGTGGCACTTTCTACAACAGAGGCCGAGTACATGGCTATGGCAGAGGGAGTGAAGGAAGCATTGTGGCTGTGGGGTCTTCTAGACGATTTAGGGATCGAGCAGGAGAGCGTGAATTTGTGGTGCGACAGTCAAAGTGCAATTCATTTGGCGAAGAATCAAGTTCACCATGCTCGTACCAAGCATATCGACGTCAGGTATCATTTTGTACGGGATGTCATAGAGGAAAGCGATATTTCTCTCATGAAGGTGCATACGAATGAGAATCCCGCGGACATGTTAACCAAGGTGGTCACAGGTAGTAAGTTTAAGCATTGCTTGGACTTGCTTCATATCAGCCCGTGTTGATATGCCCAAAAGGGCATGGCCCTTCGGGGCGGTGATGGAGGTGCGATGGAGACTATGTTGGAGAATATTTACAGAACTACGGTTAGCTTGATCCCGGTGGAGGGTACGTAGGCAGTCGCGGTATAGTGACGCAGCTGGTTTGGCCTGGTTCTGGCGCACCATGCTCGTACCAAGCATATCGACGTCAGGTATCATTTTGTACGGGATGTCATAGAGGAAAGCGATATTTCTCTCATGAAGGTGCATACGAATGAGAATCCCGCGGACATGTTAACCAAGGTGGTCACAGGTAGCAAGTTTAAGCATTGCTTGGACTTGCTTCATATCAGCCCGTGTTGATATGCCCAAAAGGGCATGGCCCTTCGGGGCGGTGATGGAGGTGCGATGGAGACTATGTTGGAGAATATTTACAGAACTACGGTTAGCTTGATCCCGGTGGAGGGTACGTAGGCAGTCGCGGTATAGTGACGCAGCTGGTTTGGCCTGGTTCTGGCGTGGATCTCTCTGGTTAAGTTCGTGGGGGTTGTTCGTCCAAAATTTGAGGATTATCAAATGATGTACGAGGTGGAGAATTGTGATCGTGGGGGGGCTCACCCAGTCGCGGTATAATATCACCCACGTGTTGATATTATACCTAAAATGGTTTGCGCTAATTTTCTTCAAAGTAGGTGGCTACAGTTTGTATTTTTTCTCACGTGCATTATGCACGTGCAATTTAGCTAGTGTGGATTATACATATTAATGTAATTTGTCTGCAGTATGCATGCCAAATATGTTTGGGAAGTCAGGCTGAAATTTAGCAGCTAAATTCTCCTTGATTATTATATTTATTACTGAGAAGTTACACTTTTTGTGGAGCTTCCATTATCAGGTCAAAGGGACAACGAAAGTAAAATCCCACCAGATCATAGGTGCTGATGATTTGGATCAGCATGATACTGCCGAGTCATATCATCAAGAAACTGTGAACGCCCTCATTCGCAAAGAGCGCGCCAGTAACTCTGAGCTTCAGGACGCTCGTAAAGCATTGATAAAGGCAAGCAATGCAATTTGTTCTTTTTCTTTCGCGTTGTTATCCGGATTACACAGGTTCATGATTCTAAGTAGTGAAAGCGCAGAGAACTGATTCAGAGCAATGTGACACCTTAATTCAGAAACTTACAACAGTCTGTTTTGTCTTTTAGTCCTTCCTCTTACATCATGTATATTTTGTATCTATTTTCTCTAACCAATAAGTTCTGACATCTTGTCCTGGTTACTAAAAAACATTTCACCACAGGGTTTGGAAGACTTATATTGCCACCACCGTTCTTCAGTTTGGCTCAAGAGAATTGGAGAACTTAACGTAAAGCCATTTCGGGATGCTTGCCTCCAAAGGTTTACAAATGGTGAAGCAGATACTAAAGCTGCTGAACTATGCTCCTTGTGGCAGGAGAAAATCAAAGATTCAAGATGGCACCCATTTAAAATTGTGACCATTGATGGAAAGCCCCAAGTACGCAATCATTCAGTTGGAACATCAAAGTTATTTTTAACCTTCGTATCTCTGATTAAATTTTCAAATATTATTTTTTGAGTTTTAGGAAATAATAAAGGATGATGATGAAAACTTGAAGTCCCTAAGAAATGATTGGGGTGAGGATGTGTATAATGCTGTGGCAATGAGCTTGCTCGAGGTACTTGAGCACAATCCAAGTGGGGGGTATGCATGTTCAGAACTTTGGAACTTCAAGGAGAATAGGAAAGCAAGTTTGAAGGAGGTTATCGAGCATTTACTGAAGCAGGTGAAAACTCGTAAAGCTTCTAAACGCAGGAAGCGGCAGCTCAGTTAGGTAAGAAATATTGCATACATTTTATATTAAGTACACAATATTATCAGTTATATATAAACCTCCTAGTGATGTGTATGAAAATGAATGCATTATATATGATGGTTGATTATGATTATGATAATCCCATGTAGGAGAACGAAGGACTATGATAGAGATATATTTATGTAATAATGTAATGCTCATCTGCATCCGCTGTTACAGCTTTACTCTTGATTGGTTCTTGCTGCATGTTGACAATCATTATGATTTGAAACCTAATGAAATCTACAGGCCCTATGATCATTATTAACCAGTTGTTTGGATTATTATCTTTCTTTCATAAATTAGAAGTTACAATTATAATTGTACTCTATTTGGTACAACCAGAAATCTGTTCAAAAACAGTCAAAGCAGTTGACACATCAGGCTAAGATCTTGGGTAGTAAATTATAAAGGCATTTTAGGGCCCCAGTCCGAGATTATGAACTGTCAATATTTGTGAGAAATTGGAGAGCTTGACCTTTTGCAACACTAATTGTACGAAATCTTCACTTAATATTTTATCAATATCCAATTACAGTTACAACAAAAATTAATGATAACTATCATGTATACTAAGCAACTGCGGGCCATTCAATCGCTTTATCTTATACTCTCCAGCCTCTAATCCATAAATAACTAATCCATTCTCCATCCTTAAACCTGAAGTTTTTACCGGCAATGTCTGCCCAACCTCCCAGTTGACTGCAAAAATGTTCCTCGAAGAGGAAGTTCTCCGGTCATTTCCGGTCACCCTAAAGGAGCGACTCTGGCCAACAAGGACCGCATTGGATTTGCCATTTTGCCCCAGTTACAAGACATTGGCAACCACTTGGTTCTTGAACCTATGATGTAGGCAGTGGCGTAGTAAGGATTATTTGGCAAAAAATAAAGGGATTGTGTCGAACAAGAGGAAGTAGAGGAGGCCGATGTTGGCTACGCCACTACCTCAAAGATGCGCATGTATTAAACATTTTGCACCAATTAAACTAAGGGGGTCTATCCACAACAATTAAACTAAGGGGGTCTATCCACAACAATTAAACTAAGGATCTTCTGAGTTTGATTCAAAAATCCTATCTCTAAGGATTTCGTTGCTGCTGAATCTCCAAGCCTGAGTGGTTGAGATCCTGAGAATCCAACCTGTGCGGTTCAGATGTCCAAAATCCAACCACTCACCCCTTAGTTTTTAAAGAGCCAGCCCCTTTAACCAACTCGTCTGGTTTAGATTCTGATGATCCAACCCTTTACTCCGTTGGGTTTGTTGAGCTTTTATAGGGGGATAGGAGATTGTAACTGACTCCTATATCCGCTCCTATGTGGGCGAAAATCCCTCAGGACGTGGGAAAAACGGTTTTGGAACCGTTCGACTCATGTTTGAGTGAGTCAAACGCCCAATCTGGCGTTCAGAACCTCAACTTCGTGTTCTTTGAATTGAGACGCGAAGTTGGGTGTTAGCTGAACACCATTGAACGCGAGGGTCGCTCACGTTTGGCTTGTGCATTGTCGACGCGAGGGTCGCTGTTGGTTGAACACCATTGAACGCGAGGGTCGCTCGCGTTTGGTTTGTGCCTTGATGACGCGAGGGTCGCTGTTGGTTGAACACCTTTGAACGCGAGGGTCGCTCACGTTTGGCTTGTGCATTGTCGACGCGAGGGTCGCTGTTGGTTGAACACCATTGAACGCGAGGGTCGCTCACGTTTGGCTTGTGCATTGACGACGCGAGGGTCGCTGTTGGTTGAACACCATTGAACGCGAGGGTCGCTAACGTTTGGCTTGTGCATTGACGACGCGAGGGTCGCCTTCATTTCCAACTTGGTGACGCGGGGATGACATCCGCGTTTCAGAAGGAGTTAGTTGATTTGTAACTTCTTCTGTAATGCGTTGCAAGGACCGTCGTTCAGTAATCCTAGCTTTAGCTGTTGTGGAGTGTGAAAGCCGTCAGATTGTAACTTTCACTGCAGATTGTGAAGACTGCTGAATAGAGTTTTCATCAGTTGTCGGAAGTGTCGTTGAATTGTAACCCTTCTAGATCTATGTGAAAAGTCCTCTATTTGCCGCTTTCGATCACCGACCCGAAAGCTATTTGATTGTAGCTTTCGTTGTTGAAGCTAGACGGGAATCAACATCCATAGTGTCTTGAAGACGAATATTTGCCCATAGCTCTCTACCAAGCAACTCACCAACTGAGTCCAACCTTTTATTTCTGAAATCATCACACTGCTCATCAGCATCTCTAATAGTTGCTATGATATTAGCCATGCTGTTGTCACAGCCATCAAGATCAATCATCTCAGAAGTGAGGTCGCGTTTGTGGCAATTGTGGAGTTGTGGATGCAGTGATTGGGAAGTCGTCTGATTGTGACCTCCGTTGTCGGAGCTTGTTTGAATAAGCTATCTATTGTGATTTTTAGACAGCCTACAGGGGTCTATATATTTTTTCACATTCTTGCCCTGGGCAGCTGCCCAGGGCAAGTTGCATATGGCTCCACCTCTGGATGTAGGCTTTTGATGATATCCCCAGTGCTGGTGATGTTGGCGATGAGGGTCAGGTTGAAGTATTTGAACTGTTAGGAATTTACGCCGAAACCCCTAATGCAACATAAACGCGGTATAAAGAAAGTACACCAAGATTTAACGAGGTTCGGCAACTGCCTACGTCCTCGGGAGTCACACAATAAATTTCTTATTAATCTCAACAAGAAATTACAATTTAAGAGCGAATTTCAAACTTGAGATTCCTCAATAAATACAATCGTTATTGTAGCTATAGTAAGATTCCCCTACTTGTTAAATGCCCCTCTTAAATCACCCCTCTTCTATTTTATTTCCCTCTTCTTTAACCCCCAGGCTGTCGCCAGCCAAGCGGGCGTTCAATCTCGCCTGCGGACGAGACTGGATCTCGCCTGTAGACCAATTCCGCCCCCAACTTCGCCTGCCAGAGAAGTCGCCAGCCACGACCTCGCCAATTCGCCTCAAACTGATCGCCCGCTCGAGCTCGCCTGCAAGGGAAACTCGAACTCGCCTGATGATCGTGAGCTCGCCTGCGTCGTTCAACCTCGCCTAAATCGAGGTTTGATCTACACCCGATCTCAACATGAACCCCCTTGATTGTGAATCGGATCCCACCTGATTTCCTGCATGGTACCCTGTAATAGGAAAAAGACGGAACCCGTTAAGCAAGCGAGGGCAAAACTGTTAATGTGCTAAGCAACCCAATATTTACTTGCGCGTGTGACCGAAGCAAAGTAGGATATTTGACACCAATGATACATGTGTGTCAGGGTATGATATATTTTTATGGAGATATATGAGCTGACGAGCTACTAAGATACAGAGGTAGTGAGAACTGAGAACCACCTAATTCGACTGATAGCATGAGTCTCACTGCTAGTCTATCTCTCCATTTTGTAGTGAATAAAATGCTAGTCTTTGATAAGGGACGGGGACAATGCCTGCTCAATACTCCTGCAATCTTAAGAAACAAAGGCATAGCGAGGTCAAAATGTGGCCTTGGCGGGTTACACCACCCGCCATTATCCCATGGCAGTGCGTACCTAGTTCAGTGGGCAAAAGTTAGTAGCAGTAATATTAAAGATTGATGGTTTCCTTTTAAGGCACCACTTCGGATCCTTCGTAGCATTTTATCTCGAAGCACGTAGCGCAGCTGAGATCGTCGTTGAAGAGTGCAGTGCTTAGCGCTGCCATTGAGACGCCACAGCCATGGCTGTACAACGTATCCACAGGCTCCTCCTGAAGAAGGAAGGAAAGAAGAGGTTTCGATTGTATACATTGAGGTGGACAATTGAGATATATGTATATTTTTTACCTTGAAAGTGAAAAGCGTGAGAGATTTAACAGTATCCGAGACTAAATAAGTAAATATAATTTGAAGTGGCGTGAAAAGCCATGAACTTGGGGCTGTAATTTTATGCTCTAACATATCCTTTTAGATTGATGGTTGTTTTCTGGATTGAAATATGGACCCAAATCAATAATATCTTCTTTATTTTTTAATATGTCTTTAAGCTGCATAACCAACAAGTATTCTCTAACGGAAAGAGGGAGAGGTAGTTTATACAATCCGAGTGAATTCATGTGAAAATTAGCAAATAGATTGATTTATATACAAATATGAAAAATTTGAGGGGGTGTATTAACAAAAAATACCCATTTGTGAGTAGTCTCTAGAAAGAAATATCGAGCAACTTAATAAAGTCCAAAAATAAAATAGATATCATTAAGCCTGGCAATAAAGAATCGTTGGATAAAAATTTATCCTTGGATCGAAGCGAACAAAAATAGACACAAACTGTAGTTTATAACTCATAAAATCGTGAATTTTGAAGTATGTATTATTAATTTTTATTTGGTAGAGAAAAAAAAAAGCAAAAATGAACGAAATCCCAAGTTAGTCCATGAAAGTCATGAATTCTGTAGTTTGCGTAGTAAATTACCATTTGGGTGATAAACAAAAACTGGACAAAAATTATGGATTAACCCATGAAAATTGTGAATTTTGGAGTTCTCTTAACTAATTATTGTTTGGACAATGTAGAAAAATCGTGGGTCATGGCCTATGGAAATCGCTGATTCTAAAATTCGTGTAATTAATTGCCATTTGGTCAAAATAGACAAAAAAATTAGAATCAAAATTTATAATAGCCTAAGAAAAGCATGAATTTTGGAGCTTTAATTAATTATTAGTTGCTCAAAATGAACAAAAATCTAAAAAAATGTGAGTTATAGTGCATGAAAATCGTGAATTTTGGAATTCGCATAATTAATCGTAATTCGAATAAAATGAAGAAAAAAGAACAAAAACCCTAAGTTATAACTCACGAGTATTGGGAACTTCTGAGTTTGCTTAATTAATTATCATTCAGCAGAAATAAACAAAAAACGACAAAAATCATATGCCCCACAACAATTGTCAATTTTAGAGTTTGCATAATTAATTGTCAATTGGCCGAAATAGACAAAAATATACAAAGATCGTTGGTTGTATCTTGTAATTAATTGTCATTTGGCCAAAATGAACAAGACAAAAAATAAAAATAAAATCAAAGGATATAGCTGACAAAAACGGACGAGGATCGTGAATTTTTTGGAGTTTGCGTAATTAACTATTATTTGGTTGAGACGAACAAAAATGGATGACAACAGCGAATTAATTATAGCTGACAAAAATCGTGAAGCTTGGAGTTCGCGTAATGAATTTCCATTTGACCAAAACAGACAAAATGTACCACAATCGTGGGTTATAATCTAGGAAAATCGTGAACTTTTTGGTAATAGCTATGAAAATCGTGAATATTGGAGTTGTGCAATAAAATTGCTAATTGACCGACTCAAATAAAAATGTACAAAATTGTGGGTTATAGCCCACAAGTATCGTGAATTCTAGAGTTTGTGTAATTAATGAACATTTGGGCAAAATGAAAAAAGACAAACAATCAGGTTAGCCTATGAAACTCACGAATTTTAGAGTTTGTGTACTTAACTGCCATTTAGTAGAAACAACAAAAATGACAAATATAGAATGTTATAGCCGATGAAAATCGTGAATTTTGGAGTTTGAGTAATTAATTGCAATATGGTTTAAATGGACAAAAATGACAAAAATTGAAGATTAATTTTTGGCCATTTTATCATTTCAATCCATGGGTGAATAATTCTAAGAAGACAAAAATTTATAATTTCATGAGCTATAACCTATGATTTAGGTCATTTTTAGCCGTTTGGACCTGCTAGCAAATAGTTTCACGGAGGCCAATTTCATGAGCTATAGTCCACAAGTTTTGGTCATTTTTATCTATTTTGATCCATTAGCAAATAATTTTGTGGAGACAAAAATACGATATTTCATAAGATATAGCTCACAATTTTGACCATTTTTAGTTGTTTTGACCTATCAACAAATAATTTCATGGTTACGATAATTTCACAAAGGCCAAAATTCATGATTTCATGAGCTATAATACACATTTTTTGCCATTTTTAGTTGCTTCGACCCGTTAGAAAATAATTTCGTGAAAGGCCAAAGTTCATGATTCAACGAGCTATAACTAATGATTATTGGACATTTTTAGTTATTTTGAACCGTTGGTAAATAATTTTGCAGAATCCAAACTTTATGACTTCATGAGCATAAGCCATAATTTTTGGTCATTTTTAGTCGTTTCGACCCATTGACAAATAATTTCGTGGGGCCTCAATTCACGATTTCACAAGCTATAACCCATAGATTTTGGCCAAATTTAGTCATTTTCGATCCATTGGCAAATAATTGTACAGAGGCTAAAATTCACGATTTCATGAGCTATAATACATAGAATTTTTTAGTCATTTTGGCCTATTGGCAAATAATTTTGCGGAGGTCAAAATTCATAGTTTCATGAACTATAACCCATAAATTTTGGTCATTTTTAGTCATTTTGATCCATTGATAAATAATTTCACGGAGGAATAAAGTTCACAATTTCATAAGATATATAACCTATGATTATTGAAAATTTTTAGTCGTTTCAAGCCATTTGTAAATAATTTTACGGTCTAACCTCTATGATTTCATGAGCTATAACCTATAATTTTTACTCATTTTTAGTTGTTTTAATCCATGATAATTAATTTTGTAGAAGTCAAAATTCACGATTTTGTGAGTTATAACCCATGATTTTTTGGTCATTTTTAGTGACTTCAACCCATTGTCAAATAATATTGCGGCATCCAAATTAATGATTTCATGAGCTATAACCTACGATTTTTAGACATTTTTTTCACTTTGATCCATCGACTAACAAGTCCACAGAGGACAAAGTTTATGATTTTATAAGTTATAACCCACGTTATTGGACAATTTTAGTCGTTTAGAAGCATTATTAAATAATTTTGCAGAGTCCAAACTTCAATTTCATGAGATATATAACACACTATTTTGACCATTTTTAGTCATTTTGACCCACCGACAAGTCATCGAGTCTAAAATTCAAGATTTAATGGCTATTTTATTTCATTTTGACTCATTGGCAAATAGTTTTGTGGAGGCATGATTTCATGCACTATAATCCATATTTTGTTGTTACTTTAAGTCGTTTCAAGCCGTTGGCAGCTAATTTCGTGGAGATCAAAATTTATGGTTTCATGAGCTATTACTCACAAAATTTGACTGCTTTTCATCATATCAACCCGTTGTCAATCAATTTAGCAAAGGCTAAATTACACAATTTTGTGAGCAACCAATGATTTTTTTGTCATATTTGTCGTTTCGACCCAATTGCTAATAAATTTTTGGAAGCCAAAATTCATAATTTCGTGAGCTATAACCTACAATTATTAGACATGTTTAGTTATTTCAAACCACTGGTAAATAATTTCATTGACTCTAAAATTTACGATTTCATGAGATGTAACACATAAATTTCCATTTTTAATTGTTTTGATCCGTTGATAAATTATTTCATGGAGGCTTAAATTCATGACTTTATGAGCTATATCCCATCATTATTGGATATTTTTAGTCGTTTCAAACTCTTAGAAAATAATTTTACAGAGTTCAAATTTCACAATTTCATGAGCAATAGCCTACGATTTTTTGGCCATTTTTAGTCTTTTCAACTCATTAGCAAATAATTTCATGGATGCCAGATTTTATGATTAAATGAGCTATAACCCATAATTTCTGAGTATTTTTAGTCATTTTAAACTGTTGGCAAATAATTTTATTGAGTCAAAAATTCACTATGTTATGAGTTATAACTCTCGATTTTTTGCGGTTTTTAGTTGTTTTGATGCGTTGACTAATAAATTCGGAAGGATAAGGTTCATGATTTCATGACCTACAACTCGCAATTATTGGACATATCTAATCATTTCGAACTACTGTAAAATAATTTTGCAAATTTTAAAATTCACGAGTTCATGAGCTAAAACCCATTAATTTTGGCCATTTTAGTCATTTTGACCCATTGATAAATAATTATATGGAGGGTTAAATTCACGATTTCATGAGCTACCTACGATATATGGACATTTTAAGTCATTCAGAGTTGTAGGCAAATAATTCTGCGAATGCCAGAATTCCTGATTTTTTGAGCTATAACCGATGAGTTTCAGTCATTTTTTATTTTGACCCATTAGCAAATAATTTCACCAAGGCCTAAATTAACTATTTCACGAGCTGACTCATGATTTTTGTTCATTTAAAGTCCTTTTTGACCTGTTGGTAAATAGTTTTGCAGAGGCCAAAATTCACTATTTAATGAGCTATTATCCATAATTTTTTGCTATTTTTAGTCATTTCGAGCACTTGCAAGTAATTTTGCAGAGTCTAAAATTCACTATTTCATGACTTATAATTCATGATTTTAACCACTTTTAGTTGTTTTAAGATGTTGGCAAATAATTTAATGAGGGTCAAAATTAACAATTTCTTAATGTATGACTCATGATTTTTTGATATTTTTAGTCATTTCGACTAATTTGGCAAATAATTTTGCAGAGACTAAAATTCATGATTCCTTAAGCTATAACTCATGTTTTTGGTTATTTTTAGTCTTTTTAGACTGTTAGTAAACAATTTCACGGTAGATAAAATTCACAATCTAATGAGCTATAACTCATGATTTTTGATAATTTTTAATTGTTTCAACCCGTCAACAAATAATTTCACGAAGGCCCGATTTTTGGCAATTTTGAGTCATTTGGAACCTTTAGTAAATTATTTTGTTGAGTTCAAACTTCGCGATATCATAAGCAATTTTAAGCCATTTTAGTCATTTCGACCCATTGGTA